TTAGTTGTTGCATCACACTGGAAATAGATGCAAGAGAATCCCAAAATAAGATTTACTCTCTTGGGAAAGATGTCCTTTTTCTGGCCTTGAGAGGTGGCCACTCGAGGTGGCCCTGCAGAGCCTCAAGTCTGTTTTTTGTTCTTGGGCTTCTGAGCTTTGGCCTTGGAGGGACATGGTCCTTGTCTGTCCCCGAGCTGCCCCAGGGCCGTGTTTTCAGAAAGCACATGGTGGGCTGTCACCGATGCCCACAGTTTTGACTGTGTCTGTTTAAATGAATGCCTTTCTAGTGGAACAGTCTAGATTTTGAATCCAATGCACAAAGGAGTGTACACTGGTGAAGGTTATTGAGAAATAAGGAAGGCTGTCCAAATTAAGGAGGTCTTATTCCTTTTCCTGCACGAGAGGACTAGACTGCTAAGAAGACACCTCCAAATCCACGCGTGTGGAGTCAGCCAGGTGGTATTGGAGGTGCACGGAAGAGGCTGCACTTCCCTTCTGTTCCCTTCCATGTTGTGGACAATGGCCACATGGCCAGGAAGGAGGATGGATTTGGGGCTCACCTATGCTTGGGGTAGGCACACCTGTGGGAGAAACTAAAACTATGGGCGGGTGCCATGCCCAGAATGCTTCCAGGTTTACAAGTTTGATAGAACTCCGAGCCTTTCTCTGAGCAACCACTCTCTGTCCTCCATGCAAAACCTGCCCAAACTCAGCTGCAATGCTGCCTTCTCCACGGGCTCCCAAATCAAGTGCTGCTCACCTTTGCCGATAGTCACCTATGGATGCTCACCTTTATCGACTCACCTGTCGGGAGGAGGGGGGAGGCTGGCTGGCTGGGGCTGTGTCTAGGGCCACCCCAAATGGTGTCTGAATAGTCTGGGTCTGCACAGACTCTGTGTTGCCCTTGGCTGAAACTGTCCCCTCCTGGATCACACTCATGGACACCTAAAATTCGAATTTTTTTCTCCTCTTTGTTTCACCTGTGTCTCCATGTACTCTCTTTGCAATGAAACAAATTGATAAATCAGCTATAATTTTTGTAATGTAGACTAATGTGATCCTACTTGAAATGTTTATTAAACAAATTATTTACTAAACAAATTATTTCAGCATAAAGCAAAGCATCTACCATGGCCAAAAAATGGGTTTCACTAGCTCCACTTATTAAATCATTGCCAATCACGTCTCCCAAATCCGCCAGCTCAGTCCGCTCTATTTCTAGTGCCGTTATATAAGGGCTACTTCCGAGAGCACAGATACCCACACGAGTAAACTTTTATAAGCCTCCAGCTTAGTTGTTCACAATCCCGGTTGCATGTTAGAATCTCGTGGATAAGAAAAGACAGAAAAGTAGAAGGAGGGAAGGGAGGAAACTGATGCCTGGCCCTGCTCAAGAAAAACCAGGAATCCGTAGGGCGGTGCCTGGTTGCCAGGCTTATTTGAGAGGTTCCTCCAGGCAATTCTGATGAGTGGGCAGGGGTGGATACTACTCTGACTGGACATAAACTTCCCTTTAACCTGCTGCATCTGTCTCCCGTAACAGACAGAGTGTAAGTCCTGACAGTCCTCAGATTCCCTTCTGTATCGTACGTGCAGAACGGGGCAAGGATAAACATGTCTCAGGACACACGCTCTGACAATCAGACCGAAAAGGCACCCTCCCTGGCTTTAGAGTTAAGCATGAAAGAGTGATCAATATTGTCATACTTGCAAGAGCCCTGGAAGCTCTCGGGTGTTAAATGCTTACAAAAATGGTACGAAAATTCAAATCTCCACCGATTCTCCAAGATTCAACGTGATGAGATACTCCAAAGCGAGATCTCCCTGCGCAGAACGTACAATAGAAATTGTCGGGAGCTCAGCTCAGGACCTCATCGCATTAGAACTATTGAGAAGCCCGTGTAGGGGAAGGAATCTTTCAAGAAACACACGGGCACGCCACGTCTTCCACGCAAGGTCAAGATGCACGGCCTGCCGGAAGGTCGCTGTGGTCCCAGGTTGCATCTACACTTCACCGAGAAGAGGACACAGACAGCTCCAAAGGGACCTGGTTGCTATCACATCTCGGCTGGGGAGGAGACCTAAGGAACAGGAAGAAGTCTAATTTTTATAGAACAACTGCATAAGATTACAGAGAGAGTAAAACTAGATGAAGCAAATAGATCACTTACTGTATTATTGCAGTTGGCAGTGGTGCCAATGGATCTCGTGGGAAGAACTTAAATATATGGAGAGATTTGTTAGGTATTTCTGATACAGTGAACTCCAAAAACAGAAGTGTGGGGCTGGGTGGTGAGAGAAGCCCGGTGTTGCAGTGGAGGGAAGGATTTCTCAGTTGTAGATGCGGCCAAGGGTACCTGGAAGGAAACGCGGGTAGACGGTGATGCGGGGCGGATGGGTGGCGTAGGGTCACCTTACTGTATGTGAGGAGTCACCAATACATGGGAACTGCCACGGCCCCACAGTCGGATTTGAGTAACTCCGTCCTATCAACCTCCCTTTCCTTGCGACGAAAAATACAAGGTGTGTCCCAGCGCAGCCCAAAGAGAGATCATCCCATTCTCAGCCAGGGGAAAGTGGTACCCAAATTCTCACGCATGCCAAACACAGAAACTAAGGTGCCTTCTAGCACCCCCATCCTCTGTGTCCTCTAGTTGTGGATAATGACTTCAGCTTAGGGGCTCCAAAAACACACCTGCCTGTGGCTTATGAAAAGAAAGGTCGGGGAAGGGAAAAAGTCCACAGCGACCAAGGTGGGTTTTGTTTTTTTGCGTTTTTTTTCCTTTCCTGGTTCCTATCACAGCTGCTGCTTCTCAAAGAGCTAAATGCCTGTCTTTCAGGATCCCAGAGAGAGTGCATCTTGCAGGGTCCAAGAAACAGGTGTGTTCTTCTGCCCATGCTCTGCTCACAGCCGGCCGCGGCCAGTCCGGTTCCACACAAGCGGCGGCGGACTAATTAAGCTCTGAAACTGGGGTTCTTTCTCTCGGCAGTTCTCCTGATCTCGTTACTCTGCTCCCTCTCCCTCCTCCCCTTCCTCCTCCTCTCTCCTCTCCTCGTTGGAGTCAGGTTGCAGTGCTCCCCTCATCCTTTACCTTAGGATGAGAGCGTAAGGGAGCAGTCGCCCCTCCTCCCACAGGTGTGCGAGGGCAGGGGGCGCCTCTCGCTCTCTGGGCTACAGGAGATGCCTGTGCTGGGGAGGTCCCGGGTGGAGGTGTCAGGATTGCCTTCAGAGACGAGATGGAGATAGGACAGTTAAAGTCATCAACTGTAGCTGAACAGCAACTGCCTAAAACTAAGAACCCACCCTTCAAAAGCTCTGCGTCTCTGCTTATTATTAAGATGTGGACATTTTTAGACTGGAGGCTCCGTTCTCTTCGTTTGCTGACAAATCAATAAATCTCTTTCCTTCTCCTCCAACCGCTTGTCCTCGTTCTTCTGATGGGGCCTCGAGGACCAGTGCCGAGCTTTCGGCAGCAGAAGCTCCCGGGAGCCCCGCTGTCATTTGTCTCTGAGCTGCTTACTGAGAAACTCTCGCAGGTTGGAGGGTGTGATAAAAAATGTCCCCATAGCGTTGTCACATACACAACCTGATCCTCCTAAACGTCAGAGTGTGGTCATGGTTTTGCAAAGATGTAAAATTTGAATCTTTAGAAATGGATCTGACAGGTAGGCGTTGCATTGGTCACTAGGGCTCTCGAAGCACCTTTCTCAGCTGTCACCTGTGTGAATTCTCACATGCACGCTCTCATCTCCCCCTCAGGGAGTGGCGGGCACCAAACCTGCCTTTTTCCACCTGTCACGTGGAGGAGCAGATATTATATTAAAAATTGGCTATGAGAGGCAGAAGAGGCAGCTGGCTAATTAAACCAACTTAAAGAGCTGCAAAGATAAATCCTGAAAACCCTGGTTGAATTTCTTCCCGGGTGCCTATAGGAACACGGGATGTCTGCAGACTAGCATTCGTCACAATTACTCCTGTCTCCAGGTGACACCTGGCGAATTCTCTGTGCTCGGCAGCAGGAGTCCCTTGGCCCTGCCTCTGTCCCTCCCCAGTCCCTGCCCCACCATCCCCGGGCGACAACCCGCATCACCCTCCGGAGCCCTTAAAACCCTGTGCCCTCAATTGCAAGGCTGTGGAAACAGCCCAAGTGCCCATCAATCCAAGAATGGATTAATAAAATGTGGTATATGTATACCATGGAGTACTATTCAGCTCTAAGAAACAATGGTGATATAGCACATCTTATATTTTCCTGGTTAGAGCTGGAACCCATACTACTAAGTGAAGTTTCCCAAGAATGGAAAAACAAGCACCACATATACTCACCAGCAAACTGGTATTAACTGAGCAGCACCTAAGTGGACACATAGGTACTACAGTAATAGGGTATTGGGCAGGTGGGAGGGGAGCGGGTATATACATACATAATGAGTGAGATGTGCACCATCTGGGGGATGGTCATGCTGGAATCTCAGACTTGTGGGGGGAGGGGGGGAAGGACATTTATTGAAACCTTAAAATCTGTACCCCCATAATATGCCGAAATAAAATAAATAGATAAAATAAACAAAAAAATAAAACCCTGTGCCCTTAACTCAAGCGGGCTGTGGCTCTGGGAAATCCAATATAAGTAGTGCAGAAATTGAGGGGGGTGAAGGAAAGAGTCCTTGTGCAGAGAGGAAGGACCCAGTTAAGAAATGCAATCACGGTTTCCTGTCATCATCCACCAACACCTGCTCTCGAGGGCAGCTGAGCCCCACCCCCGGGGAGAGAGGGGGCTGGGCACCTGCAGAGATGGCGTGGGAAGCGGGGCAAATGCCACAGAGGATGGCTTTTCCCTTTTGGGGATTGCGTCTCTGAATGCTGTTCACGGGCGTGGTGTAAGCACACACGTGTGCAAACGGGTTACACGGAAACAGCCCGAGAGCCGCCTGTTACCTGCCGAGTGTGGCCGTGCCACAGCCCCTCAAAGCTGTCTTCCTCTTTCTCTTTTCTGCAGCGTGGGTGGCGCCTCCCACGAAGTCATGCAGATCGACCTAGAAGTAGAGGAGCCCAGTGACCTGCCGGCCACTCAGCTGGTCACGTGGCAGGTGGAGTACCCGGGAGAGATCACATCGGACTTGGGCGTGTCCAAGATCTTCGTGAGCCAGAAGGACCTGATGGGGATCATCCCGCTGGCCATGGTAAGAAAGTCCCTGCCTCGGGCTGTCCCTGCGGAACTCCGGGAAGGGGACGCCTCTGCATGGTGACCAGAGCTGGCGGGAAAATGTCAGTGAGTCAGGAACCCAGATAGGGGAGGGACTGGACCACAAAGCTCACTGCTGGTAGCCAATGCTAAAGCAGATATTTTTCTAAATAATATTCATAAAGTGTTATTTGGAAAACATGCAACCCCAGGTATCAGTTTGGGTCTGCCATTGCGTGAAAATTAGTGATGACTTGAGTTGTACGTTTGCTTCATACAATGCAGGTTATTTGCATGATCTCAAACACACACAATTGCGGAGACCACGTGGCTCAGGTATGCGCACCTGATGTGTGCTGAGGGGATTGGCCAACACCTGCCCCACCTAAAGGCCTCAGCCAAGGTTTGCCAGGCAGGAAAAGCCAAGCCACACTGCAAACTTTTAAGATCTACTGATTTTTAAAGAGAAGCCACAAATAGTTTTAACGTGAAACATCAACTTGTTTATGTTGGTGACTTTTTTTTTTTTTAAATTTAAAGCACTACCTAGGAAGGAGTTAACTGTATTCCATTCATAGGCCATCCGTAACTTGTCATGTACAGGATTTGGTACTGTGAATCTGTCCATGCATTTTCTAGAATTTGTGCGACAGAGATGGGCTCTAGGGTCACCAGCAGACATACTCAGTCCCTGTCTGGGGGGCGGTCACTCCCTCACGTGCACCTAATCAGAACACACTGCCGTCCTGCACAGCCCACCCTGCCTGGGACGCTTCCGGGGCCCCTCCAAAGGAATACTTTGCCATCATCCATGTTGTTTTAATTTGACTTTTCACAACGCAGATACTCGGCTATGGTAGTCTGCCAACAATAGCTTGGGTTTTCTCTCGTTACAAAATTACTTTTCCTATTGGGGGTGCGGTATGAGTTGACTGCTCTAGGTTTCCCCTAGACCAACAATTAGATTTTTTTCTTGTTCTAGCCCACCTACTATGCCACCTCCTCCAAGAAGCCCTCCTGATCCTCATAGCAGGATATATATGCTTAACTTCATTGTTCCTCAGTTTCCTCATCTGTAAAGGAGGAAAATTCTTACTCATAATGGTTAGTTGTAAGGATGAAACAGTAACTCAAGGGTACTTATGAGAGCACCCAGCCTAGAGCAAACATTCAAGAAGTGTTAGTTGCTGTTACGATTACTTAATTACCAAATGCAAAGACACAAACAATACCCTGGCAACAATGTTGCAAAAGAGTTTTATTTTCAGGAAAGGGACATGCCCATAACCCCCGTATCTCATGGTGGCGTGTGTGTGTGTGTGTGTGTGTGTGTGCGTGTATGATAGTCTTTTGACTGAGATACGCCAAGTATTCTTGCCAATTTACCACTTGCCTTCTAATTTCACCTGTAATATCTTTTTGGCATGCAGAGGTTTTTGCCTGTTTGTTTAATTTTTACCGTGGGCCAATCCATTGATTTAGTTTTCCATAATGAAAATCTCTCATCTCCCCCTAATTTTTTCCAACAGTAAAAAAAAAAAAACAAAAAAACACGAAAACTCCAAATATTAGAATATCCGCCCACCATGGTACATCTAAATAACTCGATCTACAGTCTTCACAACATAGTGCTGAAAAGAAAGTCAATGCAATTAGGACACCTTTACACTGTTATTAAGGATGTGAGATCCATTTGGGACAGAGCTCACAGACTCCGTTCTCTGGGATGTATAATTTCAGCTCCAGGAAAGCTTGAAAATGAGATGCAATTAAGCACTTGCATTCAAAGCCACTTTCCCAAAAGATGTTTCTTTTTTTTCTTTTTTTTTTCCTTTTTCAATATTTTACATTTTGTTTTCTTGACATCTTCTTCACTATTTTTTATTTTCCCACTGATGTCCGGGGCTTTGAAAGCTTTTTTATCTTCTTAATCCAGTCAGGTATTTCTGTGAGTTTTATTGCATTATGTTATTCTGTTTCGGGAAATCGTGCCTTTCTGTGTTGTAGGTAAATGTTGTTGTCTTCAGGGAGGAAAAAATTCAGAGGAAAGGGGCCATTAAATGTGCATTATCATTAATCTAGCAAGTGTGTTATCTGTAACCAGATATTGGTGTCTGAGTCTGGAAAACGGGGGTTTGCGCCTCTCCTAAGACTCGGGGTTTTCTTGGCAATGACTCGACTTTCCGAGGAGGGAGGTCTCAGTTTCCCAAAGCTCTTCGACATTCTCCTCGCTTAACCGCCCCCTGAATTTTGGCTAAGCCGAGTGTTTTGGGCTCACGCCAGGGTTCAGAGACGGCAATGCAGATACACGCTTTATCCGTGCGCGTGCCGTCTCAGCTTAGTCCTCGCGAAGGACACATTACGCAGTCCTCTTCACGCCGGGATGAAGCAAATGTTATTGTCATTCCTCTGGGGTGGCAGCCGTCTGGGTACGATGGCGGTGGCTGTCGCTGTCCGTGTGGGGAGGTAAGTAGGGGACTCTCCTCTCCCGTGGGATTTTAGGAACATACTAGACCCCTGACCAGCCTCTCCTTTTGCTTTGTGTCTCCACTTTGGCCACCAAGTTGGAGTTTTGTTAGAATTGATCTCATCACAGCCCCGCCTCGCAACACAGCCGCCACCTGGGGGATGAAGTTCCAACACGAGCTTTGGAGGGGACACTCTAGCCGTAACACTCACGCAGACCCCCCCAACCTCCGAGCCCCTCTTCCAGAGTGGACGCAGCGGGACTCCGGTGCCCGGCCCCTGACACACCCGATTTCATACTCACGTGTTGTCTTCTCACAGCCCGAGTGTGGGACCCCATGACCCGGACAGCCAGGGCGGGAGCCGTGCGGTCATCCTTGGCCAGAGCCTTTGCCTTCGTGGTTGGACACTGAGTTCTGCCCTTATGTAACCCCTGGGATCACGATAAGTCATCGTTAAAGAGTCCCTTCCCGTCCCACTTGCATCTTCTCAAATCATCCCGATGAAGGCACCTTCTTCCTACATCTTTGCTTCAGTGGGAACATTCCATTTCTGTGATCCTAGCAGGCAAAACTTACATTCTCATCACCACGTATTAATAATTTTACTATCATTCTAAATATGCCGAAATAATAAATAAATAATATATACAACATAAATAAATAACAATAAACAAAACAAACCCTGGCCTAAAAAAGCCTCGAGCGGGCTGTGGTCGATCCCCCACCATATAGGGAGAAATTCACTGGATGAGAAGAGCCAATTCGGATGAGGGAAAGATCTTGTGCAGAGAGGAAGACCCAGTTAAGAAATGCATCACGGTTTCCTGTCATCATCCGCCAACCCTGCTCTCGCGAGGCAGCCTGAGCCCCACCCCCGGGAGAGAGGGGGCTGGCACCTGCGAGATGGCGTGGGAGCGGGGCAAATGCGCAGAGGATGGCTTTTCCCTTTTGGGAATCGTTCTGATGCTGTTCACGGGGTGGCGTAAGCACACGCGTGTGCACCGGGTTACAGGGGGAAACAGCCGAGACCGCTGTTACCTGCCGAGTGTGCCGTGCCACAGCCCCTCAAAGCTGTCCTCTCTTTCTCTTCCCTGCATGTGGTGGCGCCTCCCACGAAGTCATGCAAGATCGACCTAGAAGTAGAGGAGCCCAGTGACCTGCGCCACCAGCTGGTCACATGGCAGTGAGTACCCGGGAGAGATCACGTCGGAGTTGGGCGTGTCCAAGATCTTGGAGCCAGAAGGACCTGAGGGATATCCCACTGGCCATGGTAAGAAAGTCCCTGCTCGGGCTTCCCTGCGGAACTCCGGAGGGGAGGACCCTCTGCATGGTGACCAGAGCTGGCGGGAAAATGTCAGTGAGTCAGGACCCAGATAGGGGAGGACTGGACCACAAAGCTCACTGCTGGTACCATGCTAAAGCAATATTTTCTAATAATATTCATAAAGTGTTATTTGAAAACATGCAACCCCAGGTATCAGTTGGGTCTGCCATTGCATGAAAATTATGATGACTTGATTGTGCGTTTGCTTCCTACAATGCAAGGTTATTTGCATGATCTCAAACCCACATTGGGAGACCACGTGGCTCAGGTATGCCACCTGACGTGTGCTGAGGGGATTGGCCAACACTGCCCACCCTAAAGCCTCAGCAAGGTTTGCCAGGCAGGAAAGCCAAGCCACACTGCAAACTTTAAGATCTACTGATTTTTAAAGAGAACCACAAATAGTTTTAACGTGAAACTACAACTTGTTATGTTGGTGACTTTTTTTTTTTAATTTAAAGCACTACCTAGGAAGGAGTTAACTGTATTCCATTCATAGGCATCCGTAATTGTCATAGTACAGGATTGGTACTGTGAATCTGTCCATGCATTTCTAGAATTGTGCGCAGATATGGGCCTCCTCAGGTCAGAGGGGGGTGGGTATATACATACATAATGAGTGAGATGTGCACTATCTGGGGGATGGTCATGATGGAGACTCAGACTTGTGGGGGGAGGGGGGAATGGGCATTTATTGAAACCTTAAAATCTGTACCCCCATAACATGCCAAAATAAAAAATAATAATAATAATTAAAAAAAAATAAAATAAAATAATTTTACTATCTACACCTTCTGATGGGGAATACGTGTTAAATAAAGCTATGCTGAGTCGAGTAAATCTCTCTCTTTAAATAAACGCCCTTTTCGCCCAGCGTTCTCCCCCCTCCTCTGTCGAGCCCTCAGGACTCGTCCCCGGGCACAGAACCTGCTTGGACTCCTTCCTCCCAGCACCGTCCCTGCCCGCAGTCCACGTCCCCTCCCTGGTGGCACACCCAGCAGACGCACGGAGACACCCACGTGGATGCCCCGTAAACGCTTGTGCGGGAACCGTCTTCCCACCCGCTGGAATCCACGCGGGCCCGTGAAGAGCGGGCTGCACGGGGTCCTTCACCTCCCCGCACTTTCGACTCTGGCACACGTCACGTGCCGTGACAGT